ATCTAATATGTAAAAATTAATGTTTGTTTGTTCGTTCATGTTTTATGCGCTGCCGTTACCGTTCGTGCCATATGCTATTTCATAAGCCAACCAAAAAAAAAAAAAGGGAAGAGGTTCTATCATTTTTCGATTGGACTACATGTCCTTTTCTTGTGTGTATGTTACAGATATCTTTGTCAATCGTGGACTGGTTTTAATGATTCTTTTTAATTAAATAGATACAACATACCAGTTATACTTCTAGAGTGGTCTCATATAGTGATACAAAGAATACGAATATTAGTACCTACTCGTATTCACCGAATGGTAGACATTTACCGAATATTCGTATTACCGCGAATTCTAATCACGAATATTTAAAAACTAATATTTTTACGTACGCAACTCAAATTACTGGCAGACTTTGGAAAACAAGCGTCGTCCGCGCGTAAAAAATACGACGTGTGGCTAGGCCCTTAGCCGCAACGACGGAGGACTCCCCGGCTCCGGGAGTTTCCCCATCATTACATTTATATTTATATTACATTAATAAAAACAAAAACCACTTAGATAACATAATTCTCTCTTTTATTAAACTACACTAACTGATACCTTGATACACTAGTTGATATCTGCTCGCTTCGCTAGGCGCACGATAGTATTTTATTGCGGATCCTATATGTAGAATATCAAGATTTTTTTGATGGGGCTATCGTAAAATTCGTTCTTAGTGAGCCTCTACATAGTGAAATGAGTAACTATACTAAATTTCAAATCAATCGGGTGTATAGTTTAAGAGGTCTCGTGATGGCTCAGTCAGACCCGGGTTGACTGGGAGACAATGCCAAAAAGCATTAAGTCGGATGGAATTGGATCGGAAGTCGACCTTTAACAAAAAGGATGAGGTATCCAATTCGACTGTATTATTTTGTGTGTTACCTCAGAACTTTTTCTGGGTGAACCGATCTTGATGATCTTTTCTTTATTCAAGAGCTGGTACTTCCCGAGTGGTCCCATATAAATTTTATCAAGATCTGACTAGTAATTTTTGAGTTATCCTTAAATAATGCGTATTTAATTGACTTTGAATACATTGATTCAGTCGTATTTAAGTCGATTGCACAATTTTTATTAAATTTCACCACTTGTTTTGAAAAGTAAATAAATATGTCTCAACATTGATTTCTGAAGCTGTTATGTGAAAATTATTTTAATCTTTTTGGTACTTGGATGCTGGTTTTTACTTAATATTGAAAGTTTAATTATGTAATTGTTTACCACATTTATATCTATAATTCACAAGAAAGCGTTTGTCAAACCGCAAATAACAATCTAATAAAAAGTGGGTCATTATATATATATATATATATATATATATATATATATATATATATATATATATATATATAATAAAAAACCAAAAAAGAAGGAACACCACATTAAGCCTATTCCCCCACTCATCTATTCAAGTTTTATCTCTTAAAAAAATCCTATAACTCACACTCAATACAAAAATTTAGCTAATCAAAATTTTTAACATCTTTAAATTAAATACATTACATTATATCAATACGACAAACTTAAGCAGCTAGATATGTACAAAATGTCTAGCAACATAACGAACATTCTCAACAATCTAGATTAGATTTGCACGCAGTAACAAACAGATTACGCTAACACTGGGTTGTTGGCTGAAACTCTCACGTTCCAGTTTCCCGCCGACTTAATATATAACATTGGTTTTGCATTCCCGATGCAGGCTAAATGCATTTCTCACGACATACACTACTGGACGCTGTGCATGTGCGACTATTTATGTTAAAAGTTAATAACATTTTACAAAAGTAGTTCATTATAACTACTGAATCTGAATGACAGGGTGAGAAATTATGTATTATAGTTTTCTGTGAGAGCGTGATCCTACCCGGTCGAGCCAACCCATCCGTGCTGCAGCCATAGAACAGCTGCAGCGTGCTCTATCGCGTAAAAAATCATTACGGCCAAATCCTCGGATAATCTTCCCGTGATATTTAACAAGGAAATATAGTGGCCTTCGATAAATCGGCTGGAAAAAAAAAAAAATATATATATATATACTATATGTCTATATTAAAGTTCACCATCGAGTTGTAACCGATTCTTATGGGCACATTCTAGAAGAGAAATGTGTCGCGTATCGTTTACTTAACCTTATACTTAAGACTAGTCGTAACTTAACAGGCGTGACCTTCTCCAACTCATGACTTTTATGTAGCGTACCTATGGTGTAGCGTATTATGACTAAAGCACGAATGAGCCTTATCTACCGGGGAATGACCACGCTTTTACAGAACACCCGCATCAAATAGCAGTAGAATGCTACTGTGTTTCATATGGTGAATGACGACGGGAAAAAGGCATATCATCTTAGTTCTTAAGGGTAGCTATATAACCGCCAAGGAGAACGATAACTTGGAAGGGGTCTCGAGACATCGTGGTAGTACTACGATAGTGATGGGAGCAATAAATACTGCCTTGGGCTCAGGACGTACTAATAATAATCAATAAAAATGATGGAATTGAAACTGATTGCATTCCCAACGGAGATCACGAGACCCCTCGTGATGATGGTCACCACCGAGGGCTTTTAGCCAGTAGAAGTCTGGCATAACCTTTCTTTTACCCCCGCATCGGAAGGTATCCATGAGGATTATCCCACGATAAAAAGGCCTTAAGCGTGATAACACATCTGAATTTGATTTCTCATCGAGGATGAATGTAGGTGTTTTTCAAACCCTTACTGGCGTGAAAAAATTGAAAAATTATGAACATAGGACCAAAATATCTTCCAAGGAAAGCCACAAAACACGATCCTCAGCCACCTACATCCATCGATTTCCTGCATATCTTACCAGGTCGTGACTCTAGTCCAGGTAGGCCGCTCTACACCTCGCTTACTGGTGAGTACGAAGCTGCCATTCGAGAATTTTATTACCAATCGACAAATTTCTATCATGTAGGGGCAGTATAAGAATATCCTCTACTCTATATCATCCCGAGGGTCTCATGAAAGAAAGAGAAGGAAGTAAACCAGGAGAGGGGCAGTAGCATCTTTCTGATAACAACTATTATAATTTGAAAAAAAAAACACGGTTGGTTACTCCCTGCGGTTGCTTATTGTATAATCCCCATGAAAAAATGTACAACCGATGGGGAAGAAACTTTACAACTTAACAGTAATAGATGTTTTGTTTTAGTGAAAATAGCGATCCATTTAATAGAAATAACTTTCACAATTTAACAGCTACGTTATAAGTTGTCAAGGAAATTTAATAGAACCATCTTGCGAGCTTGCGACGAACAAATTGCCTGTAATGAAATTCCTCGTTGATCTTCATTTGACGTTTCAGCTTCAGTCAGTAGCGACGCTTGTTTACTAATGGTAATTGTTTCAGAACTTTTAAACTTAACCTTAATGTAACGCTAAAATCCTATACCTTTAAACGAGCAATTCTTGCATATATATAATCGGAATCTCGGAAACGGCTACAACGATTTTCATAAAATTTAGTGTCCAGGGAGTTTCGGGGGCAATAAATCGATCTAGCTAGGATTTATTCTTAGAAAATGTCCTTTTGTCCGTGTTTTCAGGCAATAAAAAAACTGCTACAATATAATAAGGTAAATTTTGACGTATATCGTAACGATCGTAATAGCTCAGGTGGGATGTCGGTCGGGCGTGATATCGGAGTTCCGTGGTAAGCGTCATGTCTCTGGTCCGACTTTTTTCTTTTTTTTTCAAGTTCCCTTCTTTTGTGAGAAAATCTATTATTTCAAGCCCTTTTTTTAGTATTTTTTAAAAATACGAAAATTTTAATAAAACTAATTGCACTCATGATTTTTTATTCAAATAATCAGTAAAATTTTTTCTATTCTGTCAATAAGATCAAAAATATTATTTATGTTTCATCAGTATGTAATTTACAAATGTAATTTCAAAAAAAAAACCGAGCAAGCTCAAGCTCAACAAAGCTGAACAATGCAATGCAAAGTGAAATTATATAGCGCAAAAAAATGATGTAAGAAAATGTTTATCTTCCTTTTTTTTCAGAGTCTTTCTTAACAGTTCAAGTCCCCTGCTGAGCATATGTCTCCTCCAAGGAATTCCACAAAGAACGGTCCTTAGTCACCTGCATCCATCGACTTCCTGCATGTCTTACCAGGTTGTCACTCCATCCATTGGGAAGCAGCCCTACACGTCGTCTATCGATAACAAGGCTGCCACTCAAGACCTTTGTTCTCCATCGGTTGTCGGTTCTTTGAGCTACATGGCCGGTCCATCACCACTTCAGCTTACTAATCCGTTGGCTTATGTCGGTTCTCTGGTTCTACTGCTGACATTATCATTTTCTATCACGCAGAGAACTCCTTCCATAACTCGCTGAGCGACCTTGAACTTCCTCATACGGCCAGTAGTGAAGCGCTACGTCTCAGATCCATAAGTACCTACCTATTGCATAGGTACCAAAATATAAGCAGCTATATTAGAGTAGGTGCCTATAATATATAGCTACATATTATATATAGGTCATATTCTGGCGTCTCTTCGTATCAGTCAACTTCCTTTAGAAATACTCGTATTAGTTTTTATTCTTAATACGATATACGAGATGCTATAAGATGATAATACATCGAAATTATTATTTATAAATTTCATCTGCAACAGGCGACTGTAGTTAAGTCAATTATTAATGCTACTTTTACCAAAATAATTCATAATTAATGTTCATTTTACATTGTATACGTTATTAATAATTATACCAATTAATTGCTTACTGCCATACAATTTGTACCTCCCTGCCTCTGCATACCGAACGTGCTACAAGAGTTGCAAGAAGCAATTTACAATGTGATAGCAAACTGCCAAGCGCTGATACTGAGTAAGACTAGGCAGAGCATTGTGGGCATTGCCCGACCCCATACACGGGTCATAGAGACACCTTTCAATCCGGCTGGCTTAGGCGGGCAGCTTTTTACACCGCATGTCGATTCTGACGCCGAACGTCGCGAATATGAGCTTAGGCGCGCCAGCGAACACAGCGTTCGCAATGCCCGGAACATTAGGACCTTTAGTTACCACCCTGGGATCTCCACCTTTCACCTTTTCCATCTTTCGACTCAAAGCACGTCACGTAAATAAATATAAGGTAACCTCCTATTAGTAAGCTGAGTGTGTGGCGCCCCCCACAAGTGATTGTGACATGCAGGTGGCTCGGGAACGGTTTATGACAGAAAAGATAAGACTGTGTTGACAGCAGTGTACATGTTATGCTCAGTAATTTTTTTGTATTTATTTTAAAAACCTACATTATGATTTTGTACTTTGTCGTGGAGTCGTGTTCTATACACTAACTACACAAGTACCTTATCAGGCTTTATAAACCATACAAACATTTCTTCCATGTGGGATTCGAACCCGCGGCCCAAGGCGGGGCAGCTGAACGCGTAGCAACTACACTACAGAGCTACTACTACGAACTACACTAATGATGATAACTATGATGATAAAGTTGTAAAAATAACATCTCTTTCTTTAAATATTTTCAGGCCAAAGTACAACGCGGTAGATATATACAAGATAATGTCTATTTAAACAAAGATGAAATCTTAATTACTCAGCATTTGACGAGCTAAAAAGCTTCATGGATAAAAATCATTCACTAATTGTTTGCGGCCTGAAAACTGTTACTTAACCCTCAAATTAAACTTAGGAATTAAGATATCTAACATAAGAAAGTATAAATAATTTATGCGACGTAAAATCACTCCAGAACTCGGCATTATTTCATAACCTAGTCTTCCGGGTGAGCCAACGAAATTGCATCTGAATAGTGCATCGAAGTTTGAAACTATAAATTACCCGAAAAGTTTATGAAAAATTCATTCCTGTTGGGTAACCTACAATGCAGAACTGGTTGTGTTCGTTGGAAAATACTGTTTTGTGCGAGATTTAGAATTAACGAGCTGCAGATATTTATGCAACAAAAACAATTAGGTGGGGATGACAGCTTTTATGTAGAAACCGCGTAAACACCTAGATCTTTATATTACTAAGTAAAAGTTACATATTAAAAGCTTAAATTCCAAAAAAAATCATCTTAGTCCTCAAGGTGACCGCACATCTGCATTTTAATCCTTAATCGAGAATAGATGTAGGTGTCTATGGTCAACAGCATGTCCTTATCATTCGGTAGAATGTCTACTCTTTATCACCCTAATTCTATAAAAAATTCTATCCAACTCACTAAGAAAAAGAACTTGCCGAGTGGTGGCAGAGAAAGAGAATCCATCATCCCATTTCATCCAGTCGGTGTCGTATAAGGCAACTATGCGAAATGTCGGAAAGATCTAATATACCAGATCCTAAGGGGTTAAAAGTTTAAAAGAATCTTGTAAAATTTTTTTTATAGCATTGGGTGACAAAAGACCACACAGTCCACCTGATCACGGTAATATTATCTATAAATATTACCGTGACCTGATGGTAAATGAATGCTGTGGCCAATAGACATCCACAGTTATCTTCAACTAAGGATCAAATTGCAAATGCGTTGTCACCCCTGGAAACTAAGATGGAATGAATTGATTCCAATAAAAAAGGGTCACCCGTTCTCTACACTAACCATACGATACACAGCAGTCTAACACTGCTTTTTACGCTGGTACTCCGTGAGAGCGTGGTCCTGCCCCGGTCGAGCCGACCCATTCGTGCTACAACTATAATAAAGCTGTAGCGTGGCTTTCTTCACAATCTTCTCTTTTATCACCTCATAACATAAGCCCCATAGAAGGAAATAGGAGTCAGGTATTCGATAACGCAGCCGCCACAAGGAAAGCATTAGAAAAAAGATTGTTACAGGTTAACAATGTACTTCAAAACGAATTTCGGTCACGGCGGCCAGCCTCAACGGGGAGTAGCCATCGGCGCAGTACAGGATTATAAAGCCCAAGTGTATGCGCAAACACAGCTGAACCCTCTATTCCCCCTCACTCTCATGGTCCAATGGAACGGTAATGCGACACGGCCGAAGAGAGATCAGGCGCAAGACTAACGGCTTTACATGGCACGGGGGTGAAAAACCGCTAACTTACCGACTCCAGGCAGCTACTAAGAATTTATTGACAGTAAAACTCAATAACCTATTTTCTTTGGCCCGACCCGGGATTCGAACGCGGTACCTCATGTTAAACACTCGCGTTTATAACCACTAGATCAACAAGGCAATTAACTGAAGATATTTTTTTTGCACAAATATACAAAAGACCGCAGGCAAGTATGAAATTTTCAGCTTAATGCATGATTTTAAAAAAAACATTAGGGTCGTATGTAACTGTTATAAAGCAGCTATTTACCTTATGGCAATTGAATAAAAGGATCCTTTCACATACGGTCATTGTTTACGGCAACACAAAGCGACAAAGAAACGCAACTCGCGACAAACGGACAGCCAGTAGATATGTAGATACACCCCCACAGGTAGCCGAGCTTTATTAAACTTATAATTACTATATTTATATATACACCAAAAATAAATCTTAACTAATCCAAAGCTCATTCTTCGGCAGACGTATAACTATAACAAGATTCCCTGTAAAAGCATCAAGAAGCCAGGATATAATCAGATTTCTTAGATTTTCTTAATTTGAGTATCATGGATTTTACATACAAACAAACACGCGCATCTATAAGAAATATCAAACAATGCAAAGTTTATAACTGTAATACTCCTACAAATCTTATAAAATATTATTATGGCGTCCAAAATCTATTTAAACAATAAAATATTTACTATAAAGAAAAAAATTGCATTTCAAATCACTTACCAGTTAATTAATTTAGGAGCTTTATAACTTAAATTCGTTTGTCAAAAAGCCTTTTGACAGAAAGACAACAAAGAATTTTAAATAACAGGAGCAATCAAATTAACAACGCCACTTTTTAAAGAAAAAAGTTAGCATTCATTTCATTATAAGATTTTAGAAATTTGTAACTCGAAGTAATTGACGTTCGTATCCCACCCATACGTCCAATAATAAAATTTTAAATTGAATTTCTGCAACATATCACTAATTTCATAAACATTAAAATACCTATTACAAGAAACTGAAAGTTTTACATTACAGAATCATCTATCAATCACTATAAAGCCCAATTGCAGGACAATGACTGTACAACAAGAGCACGCACCTTGCGCTGTGCCGGCACTCTCGTACTTAGACTTGAGCTTGGCGGCGGTCGCACGGGCGTCGGACCTCACGGAGTCAGTCGTGCTCGAGCTCCTGAACGAGAGGGTCGTGGAGAAAGTGGACGAGAAGGAGGAGCCCAAGCCCAGGCCGAGGGTGGCGCGGTAACGACGACGGTACATTGCGGCACGTGTGAATGCGACGGCGGTTCGGGAAAGACTGAACTACAAGAGCGCCGGCGCAGGCAACCCGGAAAAGCTCTGAAGATTTATTACGGGTGCGAAGCTAGACTGACGCACGGCGTTTGGGCTATCGGAAACTATTAATCTGGGATAAAAAAACTCCTAACAACCAAATAGAAAGAAAATAAAAATAACAGTTAAATATATCTGATAATCAAGGAAAGTTTTCATGGAGATATTCCATTTCAACAGTAAGAAGTAGTGAAAACTTTAGAAACCTCCGCTGCTGATTAAATACTGTATTAATTAAAAGGTCAAATCAACTTCGACAATATTGCCATCATTTGAGCTTCTGTGATGTCTAAACGTAAAAAAGAAGACTGTCAGTCTTTCAACTTATAATTAAAATGGTTATTTACTCATAATTATTTTTATTTAAAAAAAAGAGAGGAAAATCTAGTATGGAGAGTCCACACTAGATTTTTGTCATGTATCTTGGAGGCAGTTTACATACATAAATTGCACAAGAACTAACATTAAGATCTGGAACGATTATTTGTTGGCCATACAAATAGTAGTAGGGATTCAAACTCACAGCCAGCGTCGCAAATATAGATAAGCATCTATTCATTCATAATTCATCATTCAATCACAATTAATATGTACACACTATGTGAGGAGTTAACAGTACTAACCTAAACATCAGGTTTACGTACTAAAAACCTTTCACGTAATCTTACCACGTCTTAACAGCTCCTAGCCTACTGATGACAAATAATCGGCTGGCCGGTCTAAATACCACGTAATCAATCCCATGGGTTCGGCCCGACGCTGCGTACAATCTAAAACCATTCAACTATCATATATCGCACAAGATATACATTGCACCGATTATAGCCGTTCAAGAATATATGTCCCCCAATAGATTTCCTTATAAGGGGATATTTGCCAAAGTTGCCACGCTTGGAAGGCGGATTGGCAACTACAGTATTTTTTATTATTTTGAATTGTTATCAGGGAGACACTACTGCTACTCCCCTGTTTTACTTCGCTCCGTCGCCCCTTAAGACATCCACGAGATAGTATGAGATAGTGGATTCTGTTACGCCGCGACATCATATTGCATATCAGCAAGAGAGATGCCACCCTTTTCTTCAAATCTCAAATCAATTGTACAAGGCTCGAGTGCAGAACGAGTGATAGTATCTGCGCTGCGTTTAACAAACTCATTATTCCACAGCGTGATGAGTACGGCAATCTTTCAATATGTCGCATTTTTGTAACAAATAAAAAAGAGATATGAGAATGAGTATCCTATAATATTTTTTTAACAACAGTGACAAACAAGCATTCAGTCCACTCCATGATAAGTGGATGCTGTGGTCCATGACATCTTCATTTGATGCGTGGTGACTAAGGACTAAGATGCAATGCTTCCTTTCCAGTAAAATGGTGTCTAGTTCTCTACACTCACCATACGAAGCTCAGCTGCATTAGGGCCTATTCTCATTATAATGCCGTTCACAGTTTGTTCTCGGACCGATCTCGGTCTGATAAAATATTATCAAGTAAAAATATGTGTCACATATACATGTATAATAAATCAGACCGAGATCGGACCGAGAACGAACTGAGAACAGCAAATGAGAATCCACCCTTATAACGCTATTTTACGCTGGTATTCTGTGAGAGCGTGGTCCTGCCCCGGTCGAGCCGACTTGTTAATGCTATAACCATAATATAGCTGCAGCGTGGCACTACCACGTATAAAACAACTAACTGTATAATCACGTCTAAATAACAAATGATTGTATAATAAGGCTCAAGATACGGCCGTGCTTGAATATGGAGAAAGGTCCAACGGACGCCTAATCATCATGCAAAATATTTTTATGATGAAAAACTTTATTCAAGAAAATCAATCGCGAGCTTCCTGAAATACTCACTGTGTAAAACATAATAAAAGTTTTTTGACAAAGACATGAAAAATATTCCACTGCCATAGTACCTACTATTTTTCAGTATTGGGCAATAAAATATAAAAAGCCAGCACTGGCATTTCGCCAAAAAACAGTTAATAAATAATGGCAACTGACACTTGGAAGTGAGTTTTCGATTTAATTTAATTCAGTGCGTAATTGAACCGTAGCCAGTTTATATTATCACAGAGGCGGATAACGGAGATGAACCGTCTTTGATAATAATCCGGAGAAAAAATGACTACATTATAATGCTATATATCTTTGTCCTTTAAATATCCAGTTTTACTCATAATATTCACATTTTATCGTACACACCTTTCAACACTTCACTGTTCTGGTCATTTTATCACTTTATACTGCATCACATTCTCGTCTCTGTTTAACCGACTTCAAAAAAGGGTTACAATTCGACTGTGTGTTCTTTTGTATGTGTATGCTACGCGATATCTTCAGCAATTGTGAACCTTTATATTAAATAGGGTCACAATTGGCGAATTGATGATTCTTTTTGAAGTGAACACTTCTTTAGAATAGTTGTGATTTGAAAATCGAAGAAACGAAAACTCGACTCTAAAAAAAGACAAACATATACATCCATGTGATTTAGCCTGTGAGACAACAAGATAGAATATTAAATTAAATTAGTCGTGTTTAGACAAGTCGGCGTCTATTTTACGTACCATCTTGAGATTCAATCAATTTTTATTCAGTAAAATGACTTTACCTATAAACTGAAGTAGCTGGCGCGGCGCTATTGCAAAGCAATTTTACTCGAAAGAAAATATTCTTTTGATTTATTACACTAAAATTTAAGTTCTACGTGTCTAAAAATAATTTACATTCATTCCATTTCATTTAAAAATTTCGCTTTTACTGCGTGTGAACTGCACACCATTTAAAAATGTGAAAATATTCCACCTCTAAGGGTGGCAAAATAGTGATATCCCTTAGTCCACTCAATAGGGTAAAAATTAAATTTTAACGGGGTTTAATTTAATGATTTCTTATATTTACGCGAACACTATACATTGATTAAAACTACTTTTACGGATTTTATCGCGTTTTATTTATATTAATTTTTCATGGGTTTAATTTTTCTTTGTACGCTACGATTATACCTCGTATATCTTAGTTTCGACTTCAGAAAGTCAATTTTTTTTCATTTCTCTATAGTTTTTTGAAGTCGCCTTTTGCTTTCTACTAAAAATTAAACTCAATGTTATTTAAGTGTGTAGTGCAAGAGGTAACAGCTCCGTGGTCTGTACTCTATTTTTAGGCGACTTTAAAAAAGGATACTTACAATTCGATTTTTTTAAATAAGTCTTTCAGGGTGGTTGCAAATATATATATATCAAATTTGGAGAAAAAAATTTTTTTATAGGATAAGGGTGACAAGCAAGCACACAGTCCACCTGATGGTAATTGGATGCTGTGGCCCATAGACATCTACATTTAACCTCGATTAAGAATCAAAATGCAGATGCGTTGTCACCCTTGAGGACTAAGATGTAATACCTCGATTCCAGTAAAATGGGTTTCCGGTTCTCTACACTCTCCATACAAAACACAGCAGCATTAAACTGCTATTTTACGCTGGTATTCTGTGAGAGCGTGGTCCCTCCCCGGTCGAGCCTACCCACTCATACTACAATCATAATATAGCTACATCGTGGCTTTACCACGTATAAAACATATGTATTAATATGAATCACTTATAAATAAAGTAAAAACCGACTTCAAAGAACCCTTTGTCTACACGCAAGCAAGCTTTACTGTCTGCAAGAATAATCTTATGGAACTTCTTTACACCAGACAGAAAATAAACCAGACGGACAAGAGACGTCTGCGATCACCAATCCGTCAGTCAGCCAAGCGTGACAGACAACAACGAGAGAGGGCTTTGTCTGGCACTGGACACTTACTGGCTGATAAAGCAGGAGAATCTACAGTCGAAGGTCTACCGTGCATGAAAGTCAAAACAGCATAAATCATTCTTGGGGCGATGTATATATGCTTGAACAACAAAATCACAGAAAATATACAAAATTTGACCTGCATAAAGTTTATAAACATTATTGAACTAAGTTTGTATAAAAAGGTTTATTCTAATTTGTCATGTGTTGTTAATTGTAACATACATTGTAAACTGTTTTTTAAAGCATTATTTATAATGTATTATATTTAATTTATATGTATCAAGATATTTCATGTATTTTTTCTCTTTAAGTACTAACATAATATTATGGTACATAAAAATGGCTTTATGTGAATAGTCTCGTTCCATAATTAAATTAGCTAGCGTATACGTGTGACGTTATTCGGCATAAGCTTGTTACGTTAAGCAGTTACTGACGTCTGTTCATAATTAAATGTGACAGTTTAAGAATGGATGAACTAAAATCCATCATCATCATTATAGAACATAACAAGTGAACTGCTGATCATATTGTGGTGATCGCTACCATGCTATTTCTAATTAGTTTGTATAGTTAATTGTGTAACGTAACTTTAAATTGTTCTTTTTTTTTTCAAAAAAAGTTACATAACTAGGCGATCGAGGCCCCCGCCTCGAGCGTTGCAACTCCGGAGGCCACATTTTTGGTAGGGGAACACCATTTCAGGAGGAAGGCCGTGACGAACGCCTTGGCGACGTCGTCTCTAAACGGGATCTGCCCCGGGATCGGTCCCGCTCCGTAGCCTCCTTCTGAATCATAATGGATGCACAGAAGGTGGCTACGGCCCTCCACGCGGAATCCCGCTCAGCATCGCTGACAAGACTGCTGGCAGGAAGAGGTTCCAACCGATGTGGTTCACCCGAATTGTCCGTTCCCGTTCCCACGCTGGACATATCGCGAGCGTATGGGAAGCGGAGTCCTGGTACCGTCCTCCGCAGTGAAAGCAGTTCGCCGTCGCCTGGCGTCCGACCTTACATAGATAATCACCGAAGCACCCTTGCGCGGTAACTATCTGTGTAAGACTGTAGTTGAGTCTTCCTACTCGTCGC